GATCTAATGTTCTACTGTTCTACTGATCTAATGTTCTAATGTTCTACTGTTCTAATGTTCTACTGTTCTACTGTTCTACTGATCTAATGTTCTACTGTTCTAATGTTCTACTGATCTAATGTTCTACTGTTCTACTGATCTAATGTTCTACTGTTCTACTGTTCTAATGTTCTAATGTTCTTATGTTCTAATGTTCTACTGATCTAATGTTCTAACTGTTCTACTGATCTAATGTTCTACTGATCTAATGTTCTACTGATCTGTTGTTCTACTGTGTGTGTTCTGGGGCTGTAAATTGGATTAAATGGGCACAACATCGAGAGTCTGAAATTTATAACGACGTAAAACCTGAGAACCACCTGCCCAGACTGTGTGTCAGGTGCCCCCTGTGTGTGTCAGGTGCCCCCTGTGTGTGTCAGGTGTCATCCCTGTGTGTCAGGTGTTGTCTCTGTGTGTCAGGTGCCCCCTGTGTGTCAGGTGTCGTCTCTGTGTGTCAGGTGCCCCCTGTGTGTGTCAGGTGCCCCCTGTGTGTCAGGTGCCCCCTGTGTGTGTCAGGTGTCATCCCTGTGTGTCAGGTGCCCCCTGTGTGTCAGGTGTCGTCCCTGTGTGTGTCAGGTGTCGGCCCTGTGTGTCAGGTGTCGTCCCTGTGTGTCAGGTGTCGTCTCTGTGTGTGTCAGGTGTCGTCCCTGTGTGTGTCAGGTGTCGTCTCTGTGTGTCAGGTGTCGTCTCTGTGTGTGTCAGGTGTCGTCTCTGTGTGTCAGGTGTATCTCTGTGTGTCAGGTGTCGTCTCTGTGTGTCAGGTGTCGTCCTGTGTGTGACAGGTGTCGTCCCGGTGTGTGTCAGGTGTCGTCCTGTGTGTGTCAGGTGTCGTCCTCTGTGTGTCAGGTGTCGTGCTCTGTGTGTCAGGTGTCGTCCTGTGTGTGTCAGGTGTCGTCCTGTGTGTGTCAGGTGTCGTCTCTCTGTGTGTCAGTGTCGTCTGTGTGTCAGTGTGTCTCTGTGTGTCAGGTGTCGTCCTGGTGTCTGTGTGTGTCAGGTGTCGTCCCGGTGTGTGTCAGGTGTCGTCCTGTGTGTGTCAGGTGTCGTCTCTCTGTGTGTCAGGTGTCGTCTCTGTGTGTCAGGTGTCGTCTCTGTGTGTCAGGTGTCGTCTCTGTGTGTCAGGTGTCGTCCCGGTGTGTGTCAGGTGTCGTCCCTGTGTGTCAGGTGTCGTCTCTGTGTGTGTCAGGTGTCGTCCTGTGTGTGTCAGGTGTCGTCTCTGTGTGTGTCAGGTGTCGTCCCTGTGTGTCAGGTGTCGTCTCTGTGTGTGTCAGGTGTCGTCTCTGTGTGTCAGGGTTTGTGTGTGTCTGTGTGTGTCAGGTGTCGTCCCGGCGTGTGTCAGGTGTCGTCCTTGTGTGTCAGGTGTCGTCTCTCTGTGTGCCAGGTGTCGTCTCTGTGTGTCAGGTGTCGTCCCTGTGTGTGTCAGGTGTCGTCCCGGTGTGTGTCAGGTGTCGTCCTTGTGTGTCAGGTGTCGTCCCTGTGTGTCAGGTGTCATCTCTGTGTGTGTCAGGTGTCGTCCCTGTGTGTGTCAAGTGTAGTCTCTGTGTGTGTCAGGTGTCGTCTCTCTGTGTGTCTGTGTGTCGTCTCTGTGTGTCAGGTGTCGTCCTGTGTGTGTCAGTGTGTCGTCCCGGTGTGTGTCAGGTGCTCTGTGTGTGTCAGGTGTCGTCCCTGTGTGTGTCAGGTGTCGTCCCTGTGTGTGTCATGTGTGTCAGTGTCGTCTGTGTGTCAGGTGTCGTCTGTGTGTCAGGTGTGTGTGTGTCAGGTGTCGTCTCTGTGTGTGTGTCGTGTGTGTCGTCCCTGTGTGTCAGTGTGTGTCGTCTCTGTGTGTGTGTCAGGTGTGTCAGGTGTCGTCTGTGTGTGTCAGGTGTCGTCCTGTGTGTGTCAGTGTGTCAGGTGTCGTCTCTGTGTGTGTCAGGTGTCGTCTCTGTGTGTCAGGTGTCAGGTGTCGTCTCTGTGTGTGTGTCATGTGTGTCAGGTGTCTCTGTGTGTGTCAGTGTGTCAGGTGTCAGGTGTCTGTGTGTGTCAGGTGTCAGGTGTCGTCTCTGTGTGTCAGGTGTCGTCCCTGTGTGTGTCAGGTGTCAGGTCTCTCTGTGTGTCAGTGTGTCGTCTCTGTGTGTCAGGTGTCGTCTCTGTGTGTGTGTGTGTCAGGTGTGTCCTGTGTGTGTGTGTGTCGTGTCTCTTGTGTGTCAGGTGTCTCTCTGTGTGTCAGGTGTCGTCTCTGTGTGTCAGTGTGTGTCAGGTGTCGTCTGTGTGTCAGGTGTGTCCTCTGTGTGTCAGGTGTCGTCTCTGTGTGTCAGGTGTCGTCCCCTGTGTGTCAGGTGTGTGTGTCAGGTGTCTCTGTGTGTGTCAGGTGTCGTCTCTGTGTGTGTCAGTGTCGTCTCGTGTGTGTCAGGTGTCGTCCCTGTGTGTGTCAGGTGTCGTCTCTGTGTGTGTCAGGTGTCGTCTCTGTGTGTCATGTGTCGTGTCTGTGTGTGTCAGTGTCGGTGTGTCCTCTGTGTGTCAGGTGTGTCCCGGTGTGTGTCAGGTGTCGTCTGTGTGTCAGGTGTCTCCTGTGTGTCAGGTGTCGTCTCTGTGTGTCAGGTGTCGTCCCGTGTGTGTCAGGTGTCAGGTGTCCTGTGTGTCAGGTGTCGTCTGTGTGTGTCAGGTGTCTGTGTGTGTCAGGTGTCGTCTCTGTGTGTGTCAGTGTGTGTCGGTGTCGTCTCTCTGTGTGTCAGGTGTGTCTGTGTGTGTCTGTCGTCCCTGTGTGTCAGGTGTCGTCTCAGTGTGTGTGTGTCAGTGTGTCAGGGTCGTCTCTGTGTGTGTCAGGTGTCGTCTCTGTGTGTGTCAGTGTGTCGTCTCTCTGTGTGTCAGGTGTCAGGTGTCTCTGTGTGTCAGGTGTCGTCCTGTGTGTCAGGTGTGTCTCTGTGTGTCAGGTGTCGTGTGTGTCAGGTGTCGTCCCTGTGTGTCAGTGTCAGGTGTCTCTCTGTGTGTCAGGTCGTCGTCTCTGTGTGTGTCAGTGTCGTCTCTCTGTGTGTCAGGTGTCGTCTCGTCTGTGTGTGTGTCAGTGTGTCTCTGGTGTCGTCCCTGTGTGTCAGGTGTCGTCTCTGTGTGTGTCAGGTGTCTCTCTGTGTGTCAGGTGTCGTCTTCTGTGTGTGTGTGTCGGTGTGTGTGTTCTCTCTGTGTGTGTGTCGTCTTGTGTGTCAGGTGTCGATCTGTGTGTGTCTGTGTCGTCTCGGTGTCAGGTGTCAGGTGTCCGTGTGTCAGTGTTCGGTGTGTGTCAGGTGTGTCTCTGTGTGTGTGTGTCGTCATGTGTGTCGTCCTGTGTGTCAGGTGTGTCGTCCTGGTGTGTTTGTCCGTGTCTGTGGTGTGTCTGTGTGTGGTGTCAGGTGTCTCTGTGTGTGTCAGGTGTCCCGTCCCCTTGTGTGTGTCAGGTGTGTCCCTGTGTGTGTGTGTCGTCTGTTGTGTGTCAGTGTGTCGTCTCTGTGTGTCAGGTGTCGTCAGTGTCGTCCTGTGTGTCAGGTGTCGTCTCTGTGTGTCAGGTGTCGTCTCGTGTCATGTGTCTGTGTGTGTCAGGTGTCGTCCTGTGTGTCTGGTGTGTCAGTGTGTCAGTGTCGTCAGGTGTCTCTGTGTGTGTCAGGTGTGTCGTCCGGTGTCTGTCAGGTGTGTGTGTGTCAGGTGTCGTCTCTGTGTGTCAGGTGTCGTCCTGTGTGTCAGGTGTCGTCTCTGTGTGTGTCAGGTGTGTCTCCTTGTGTGTGTCGTCATGTGTGTCAGGTGGTGTGTCAGTGTGTCAGGTTGTCTCTCTGTGTGTCAGGTGTCGTCTCTGTGTGTCAGGTGTGTGTGTGTCTGTCAGTGTCAGTGTGTCGTCGTCTGTGGTGTCAAGGTGTCTGTTGTCAGGTTGTCAGGTGTCGCTGTGTCGGGGTCCTGTCTCTGTGTCAGTGTTCGTGTGTCTCTGTGTGTCAGGTGTGTGTGTGTCAGTGTGTCGTCCTGTGTGTGTGTGTCAGGTGTCGTCTCTGTGTGTGTCAGGTGTCGTCTCTGTTGTGTCAGAAGTCGTCTCTGTGTGTCAGTGTCGTGTCTGTGTGTGTCATGTGTGTCAGTGTCGTCTCTGTGTGTGTCAGGTGTCGTCGTCTCTGTGTGTCAGGTGTCTGTGTGTCAGTGTCGTCTTGTGTGTCAGGTGTCGTCTCTGTGTGTGTCAGTTCGTCGTCTCTGTGTGTGTCAGGTGTCGTCTCTGTGTGTCAGGTGTCTTGTCT